GTGGTCGAGAACGCCCTCAACCGTGTCTCCCACATTTCCCGCAACTCATCCCTCACACCCCATCCACGCAATAAGAACCAAAAATGAATCCCCCTCATCCTCACGTACCACCCCACCAACCTCCAGATCCAATGCATCATCCTCCGACACTTCCGCCATCTGCAATCCGACCCCACCAACAAAGACATCTTTCCCTCCCCACCCTTATCTGCTTTCCGGAGGGACCACTCTCTCCGTCACTCCCTTGTCCGCTCCACACTCCCCTCCAGCCCCACCACACCCGGCACTTTTCCCTGCAACCGCAGGAAGTGCTACACCTGCCCCCATACCTCCTCCCTCACCCCCATCCCAGGCCCCAAGAAGACTTTCCACATCAAGCAGATGTTCACCTGCACATCTGCCAATGTGGTATACTGCATCCACTGTACCCGTTGTGGCCTCCTCTACATCGGGGAAACCAAGCGGAGGCTCGGGGACTGCTTTGCAGAACACCTATGCTCGGTTCGCAATAAACAACTGCACCTCCCAGTCGCGAACCATTTCAACTCCCCCTCCCATTCCTCAGACGACATGTCCATCCTGGGCCTCCTGCAGTGCCACAACGATGCCACCCGAAGGTTGCAGGAACAGCAAATCATATTCCGCTTGGGAACGCTGCAGCCCAATGCTATCAATGTGGATTTCACAAGCTTCAAAATCTCCCCTCCCCCTACCGCATCCCAAAACCGGTCCAGCTCGTCCCCGCCTCCCTAATCTGTTCTTCCTCCCACCTATCCTCTCCTCCCACCTCAAGCCGCACCCCCATCTCCTACCTACTAACCTCATCCCGCCCCCTTGACCTGTCCGTCCTCCCTGGACTGACCTATCCCCTCCTTAACTCCCCTTTACTCGTTCCATGCCCGCCTCTTTGACCTGTTTGTTTCCTCTCCACCTATCCTCTCCTCTATCCATCTTCTATCCGCCTCCCCCCTCTCCCTATTTATTTCAGAACCCCCTTCCTCTCCCCCATTTCTGATAAAGGGTCTAGGCCCAAAACGTCAGCCTTCCTGCTCCTATGATGCTGCTTGGCCTGCTGTGTTCATCCAGCTCTGCACCTTGTTGTCTCGGATTCTCCAGCATCTGCAGTTCCTACTATCTCTGATTCAACTTTATAAATGGTGTAAAGTTAGAAACAGTGGACATACAAAATGATTTGGTGTCCCAATACACGAATCACTGAGATGTCTAAAACTGGCACAATTAAGAAAATAATTAACAATGGAATGCTGGCCTTTATATCTAAGGCAGCCAGAAGGAAAACCTGGGATAGAAGTTATGCTCCAGATAAAAAAAAATTCCTGATTTAATGACATCTGGAGTACCACAAGCAGCTTGAAGTCACATGCTGTAGAAGAATATCGTAATCTTGCAAGTAGTGTAATGCAGATTTAGAACAATAATATTTAGACTCTAAGTGTTAAATTTCAGGGAGAGATTAAACAAATTAGGGTTGCATTTCCTGGAATCTAGAAAGATAAGGGATGATTTGATCCAAGATTTTAAGATATTAAGGAGACAGAAAATATTTCTGCTAATGGGGGCATCTCGGACCATATTTTTGGGATTGTTACCCTGGAATACCAAATGGATTTAGTCCCAATCTCTCATCATCGTGAATATGTTTTAATTTGTCTTTCTTAGATCCTAAATGAATTACGATACAATTTCCCACATCAAATTCTTTCTACCCCAGTGCTGTCCACTCATTTGTCTGTCCACATCCCTTTGTAACTTGTTTCACCAATCTACTAAATTTCTCTGCCATTTTTCTATTTATTTTCTGGTTGCTGGCATCGCTGGCAAAGCCAATATTTATTACCCATCCCTAACTAACATTGAAAAGATAATAGAGAGACACCTTCTTGAATATAAATGAGTGCTTACTAAGGCTTAAGAATCAATCATATTGGTGTGGGTCTGGAGTCACAGATAGGTCAGACCGGCCAAGGGCATCAGAGTTCCATTCCGAAAGGGCATTGATAAACCAGATAGGGCTTTTACCTTAATTTGAAAGTTTTATGGTCCTGATTACTGTCATAAAGTTTTAATGAATTATTTGAATTAATCCCTCTTTTCCCAAGTGGAAACTGAACTTGTTTCAGTATCATTAGCCTACTCCTCTGGATCACTAGTCCAGTAATGTAGCCAATATGCAAAATTTAATATTGCCTACAAACTTGGATATGCAAACCTTGTTGATCCAAGTGAGTGGAAAAGTTGTAGCCCAATACAGATTCCTGGGGAACACTAGCTGTTACGTCCAATGCACTTGAATGTTGAAACTGCACCTCAACAATCTGAATTCGTCCAAAGGTTCTGCAAAAAAATCTGAAGATACTCTAGACAGACATCTTGTTCCATACAGCTTGCACAAGATCCCATTGAAACAAGCACCTAAAACAGTTTTCCAGGTAACCAGATACATTAGGGATTAAGGAATGGGAGAATAAATCCACTAGTCTTACACTATTAAGGGGAACAGTGACAGCGTGTTGGAAACGTGGCCATGACAACCTGCAGCCTGTCTTCCAGAAGCTATGCCTTACTCTGGGAGCCAGACACCGAGGTGAATTTACCTCAGAATATCAAGGGGAGATCAATCTATCATGAAGAGATGGGTTTTACTACTACACTTGTTCTTAAAGGATTTACCAATGCATTATCCTGTGTGAATATCCTCCCTTACCCCTGCAATTCCTGTAGGATGCCAAGTTCAATATGCCAACATACCTAGGTGTGGAAGCATTGCTGCCTCCAGGCTCTTAGCAAAGTGAACAGTACTGTCATGGAGATCCAGCAGCATGCTAAGTTTGTCCTCCTGGCTTGCTCTCTCTATTGCTGTGCTGAGGCAGACAGGGATTGATGGAACGATAGCTCCCAGGGTTTGGATCTGCAGCACGGTAACAATCTCACAGGGGTTCCTGAAGACCTGTCCAACAAAAAGGTTTTTTTTAAAAGGCTTTTTTAGGTCTCAAAGTACAAAACTAGTCAAAAGTTATAGCACATTTCAGAAAGAATCATAACATTAAAAAGGTTAGGAAAGATTTAATTAAATTCTAATTCTTTCCCTATTGTGAAAATGGTGAAAATATGGTCTGGACCATAAATCTTCATCCTTCATCCAGTAAATTCCATGCAAAGATAAAGACTGCAGCATCTAAAGTATGGGGACAATTACTGAGAATTAATAGGGCAGAAACAGATCATTTTGCCCGGAAACAGGTCATCTGGCCCAAAATATCTACGATGGTGATTATGCTTCACATGAGAATGTTCCCATCCCTCTTCATTTCACCCTGTCAGTATATCTCCATTTATATGTAAAACTATAGAAGGCAGCAATAGCTCCGTGGATTGTCACCCAAGTCACCAGGTATTAGGCTCAGGGTGCACCCCAAAGATTAGAACACATAAAACAGGCTCACATTCTAGTGTGGTACTAGTGGACTGCCACACTGTTGACAACGCCTTATTTTTGGATGACATGTTAAAATAAGGCCCCACCTACCTTCTTGAAGAAGAACAAGGAAATTAACTCTGATATTCTGATTAATATCTAACATCACATTACAAAAGTGACATTTAGAAAGTACACAATTGCCAGTACAACAATTTGAGACATTCTGAGGTGATAGAAGTGATATAAAGTGGAGACATTTTTTAAAGGGTCAGTATCTAAATCAGTGTTCCTCAAATTCTTTTTCAAGAAATATTTTACATTACTGTTGAACAACAAATTTCTAGTTATTAAAGAGTTAAAACCCTCAGCTTTTATTAACTCCTTTTAATCATGTTCTAGGAACTGATTATTTACAATTTTGCCTCAGGGAACATGGTTTCAACAGCTTTCCGTTGTTCATTTGTTTGAGTAAAAGTTTTTTTAAAAAATGCACCAACACCATTTAACAATAAAGTTTCTTAAGTGCAAAGAGCCATATCTTTCTTAGCGTTTATAATATGTTCCTGTATTTTTCCGCGTGTATGACGCAGCTCCACTAACAGACACACTCCAACTCTCATATAAGGATGTAGAAATTAGTGCTGACATTTTGAATGGGTTAATTTGATAATTTGATGAAGGAGTGTCAAACATACAATTGATGCAGCCATTTAATATCCCTTGTCACTAGGTTAATCAAACAGAGCGAGATTTCACTGGCCGTAAATGGCGAACCAGCTGGAGTTTAGTGGGAGGTAATAAAATGCAAAGGAGCCAAACCAGAAGGCTTCCCTATCAGAGTCCCCTCTTCAGACTATTTTATCAGTGGTGGGAATGCCAGCAGTTTGGTGATCTCTGACCAGAGGCAGATGGCAAATGTAACAAAGTCAAGGCCCAATTAAAGACTAACTACTGAGCAGCTAGCATTTTGCCAGCAGTGAAGTGGGCCTCACCATGTTGTGTGGCCACTAGCTTTAAAAGGGAGCCCTGCAGCAGCTTCCTGGGATTGGAGGTAATGGTGCACGAGGCTCCATAGCCCAATGAGAGGCTCCCAGTCCACAGCCCCATTGGCGCTACTGGAGGGGTTCAACATCAGATCATCAGAGCCTGCCTTCCCACACCCGCCAAAGGAAATAAATATTCCACCTTAACTATTTTCTTTGCAGCCTCAGCAATGGCCACCTCTCACTCTCTGTAGCACTCTGTGGAACTAACTGCTGGCTCTCTGATTAGCAGGAAATGTGGAGAGCTCACTCTTATTAACTGAAAGTTTAGCATGGCCAAGTAAGAGGCTGGCAATGAAAGATTACCACTATGTAGGCTCAGGAACACATACAGTCCTATTGTTGGAACTTAGACCTATCTGAGAACACCCAAGTCATTTTGCTCTTACACAGAGGAAATCATTTGTGAGACTGTCTATACCGTATATGAAAACATACTCTGCTTCAAAGTTCAAAACAAAATCAACACGGTGGGAGAAGCAACAGTCTCTGACGCAATGATCCTCCACTGCAAAGAATTCCAGGCTAAACTCTTCCTTCACTCTAGTAATAATATTAAACCACAGACTCATGACTGATTAATGCAAGCAGGTCTCCCTACTGACTCTACCAAACCGCTTCCTTCTGCTCAAATGAAAGTTCTTTTTTCAAGTTATACCTCATAAGTTAGTTTCCTGCTATCTTCTTAATATTAAAGGTTACTACAATATAGGAGGCCTATTTAATGTTTTACGTCCCCTAATTTTAAAGCCCGTAAATGCTATTGATCTAATGGCTTTATCTACTGTATTCTCATTTTGAGAGAAATGTATCATCATCTAGTAACATCTGGCCCGAGACCAAATGCAACCAGGAAACAGGTGATGGTTACATCAATGAAGGGAGAATTGGATGAGAACTTGACTGCTTGTACACAGGAAACAAGAAATCACTGTGGTTGGGGTATTACGATGTACAAGTTGAAAAAAAATTCTTGACTAAAAATGTGAATGCTTGGACATGGTCATGAAATCTTTAACCTCCAGTGTTTAACATTCTGCACTGGAATCCCTATGTCTTTCTACTTATTTTCAGCACCTTTCCATTGAATGGATGCTTTCGTTTCTGATACTACTTATTTCACATTAAATTGCACCTGTTTCCTTAATCTGCTAATTAATGTCTTAGTCTTTCACAACATTCTTCACTCTGCCAACTAGCCTCTTATGAAAGGTTTTATCAAAGGCCTTCTTAAACATCAATACACAGCATATCAAGGACATTCCTTTACCTAATCGATCAACTAATTTACAAACAAAAACTCTGTTCAATTTGTCAAAAGTTTTGAGTATGTTAAAGCCTTACTGTAAATCCAAAGTCTTTTTTAATTCTGTATGTTGATTCATATCCACCTGTAGCTTCACCCTAACCACTTTGTGAATGCGCCTTTGTTCCTCTCCCACAATATCCTGCCACTTCCATCTTTATTAAAATTCCTTTTCAGAACATAAGCAGCACTGACAAAGGTTGACAATTATTGCCCATCCCTCGATGTCCTGGGAAGAGAGAGTGAGCCTGTTTGAATTGATGGTAGTGATTTCATACAAATTCCAGACCACTTCAGACAGTGATTAAGAGTCAATTACATCAGTGTGCGACATGGAGTCAGCCACAGGCGCAGCTCAGCTAACGATGGCAAGTTTTCTTCCTAAAGGAACATTTGTGATCCAGATGGGTCTTCTTGAATTAATAACTGACACTGTTACTGAGTCCAGGTTTTTACTTCCAGCTCTTCTAAAGCTTCAATATATAATGGAATTAATATTTGGATTCTTGATCTAATAACAAATTCAATACACCAATGTACACCTAGTTGGGGTTCAAATCCTCATCCACGCACTCACGCTGGGGTATGTGATAATGGAAAGATGCTTTAGATTGTATTTTTGGCTTTTCCTGTTTGATTCCAAATCTCTTTTAACTTGTAGCTTACAACAATATGCTTTTCATCCATGCTTTTCTCAGTCTCACGCAGCCCTATAGAATGAAAAGACTTTTGTGTTAATAGGCATTTTTGAAACCTCAGAATGTTCCAAAGCTCTCTGCTGCCAACTAAGTGTTTTCAAAGTCTAGTCACTCTTGTAATGCAGATCAAGTGACAGCTAATTAAAAACAGTTAGGCTCCACAAGAAGCAATATGAAAATAACCAAATAATATAGCCTTTTATAGGTGGTGGGTGAGGAATATTATACAAGACACTGAGGAAAATTTCTCTGCTCTGTTCAAAATTGCCATTTATAGTCATCTGAAGGGGAAGATAGGATTAAGGTTCAATATCTAACCAAAAGACTTGAATTTCTGCCTGGATTATGTGCTCATTGCTGGAGTGGGATTTGAACCTTCTGACTGGTTCTCTCTTATTTCTTATCCCAAGTGTACATACAGGTAAAATTCTGAATCTCTTGAATCTCTGTTAATATGAGCCTTCATTATGGCTGAGTGCCCGAGATAAGTTGCCTGCAGTAATGGAACACAGCATGCGAGATCCGGAGAGATTTTACATGACATTTCACATTTATCGCTTTTCAGAAGTAATGTCTTAATGTTTAATCTATTTACGCAAAGCTATTCTTGGAAACAGATCAGAGATAAGGCAGAAAATTTGATTCGTGTGTAACAAGTTGTACCAGACTGAGGACTGTACCCTCAGGGAAACAGTTAAAAGGAAAGCCAAGAATTTTCAAACACTTGGTGGGGCAAGGGGGAATATTTCCATTAAAGAGCACAAAATAAAACACCAAGGAGTGCAAGTCTACACCTAAATTCAGAAATAAAATTTCAACTACAGGAAGCATCATCCCCTTAGGCTCATTCTCCAAACTGCTGAACACAACTGTCCAACTGATCCGTTTGTCCAGCTCTTCATTACTATCGTTCTTCACAATTCTCCTTACATATATTTTATACACACCTACACATATAAAATATGAAAACTGTAGTCACTGTGGTATATATAAACTTCTAGAACGAGTCTGGGATTCAATCACAGTCTATCAGTTTTTTTTTTGAAAGGATAAATGATTGAAAGAAAGATGGATAAAGAAATAGAAGGACAATACAGGCACAAGGGAACTATTCACATACCGGATGAAGATCTCTGATGTTCATGCCCGGGATTGATGGGATGGCAACCTTATAGACTAATGGGGTGATGATTATGCATACTTCTTATTTTGTTCAATTATTATTGTTAGCAAGCGAGCGAGTCAGGGTGGGTGCAGCCAGAGAACTGGGCATACATGACTACTGATCTCCAGCTGACTGTCAATTCAGGAACTTTTAGAACACAGGACAGAGGATAAAGAGAGGCAGTGAAACACTAAACAGATTCAGAATACCTAGAAAACCAGAAAATAGTCACATATTGTAATTAAACAAATTCCACATACGCATTCCAGTGATTAATGGAACTGTTATCTGCATCTGTTCAGAAACTAAATTGATAAGGTGCTGTTCTTTTTACTGTTATGGGAACATAAAGCGGGCACATTGCGATACCTGCAACCAATTGAGAAGCAATCTGCCCTTGCACAATTTCATTTAGCTTTCCAGAATTGCAATGCCCTCGTCAATGAGAGGCACATGATTATAAACTTGCCCTGTGCTTCACAGCCATATAATTCCCTCTAGCCAGCACGACAGTACATGAAAATAATACTTATTTTACAGGTGCCACTGCTGATCTGGGGTTCACTCCAGCTACGTAGTCAATTCCTCAGCAGATGCATTCCAACTCAAATGCAGCCAAGTTTGGGAATTCTGCAGTGAGTGACTCACCTCCTAACTCCCCAGAACCTATCCACCATTTGTAAGGCACAAGATAGTTTTGGGAATGCAACGTCCTTAAGAAAATACCTAAATGACCGAAGTTGGCAGAGATAGGATTTGGACAATTTCTGGGTGAAAACTAAGTTACCATGTGGTCCACCTACTGTTACAAAGAGTCAGACGACTTTGTAGATGGCCGACAAGCAAAGCTTTTAAAAGTGGTAACAGATGGATTTTATTACTTAAAATGTTAGAGAAATTGGTTTGGGAGAATTCCGAAACTTGCCTAGCCATAGCTATAGTTACTTCTTTCCCTATATACCTTTGGGGTGTCAGCTGAAGACTGTCAAAGGATCTTCCAGCCTTACCTGATCTAGGCAAAAGGTAAAGTCAGTTCCACATTACCTGACGGATTTTTACTGCCTATGAGCCAATTAACCTATTTTCCTAACCAACCTGTTCAAAGATGTTAGTACACACCTCTGGAGCAGGTGGGACTTGAACATTGTCTCCCAGTCCAGGAGTAGGGCACTACCATTGCACCATAAGAGGGCCCCTTATGAGCCAATTAATGGGAAACTGCCTTGTTAGCATCTTGCTTAAAATAACACATTCATTCCAGTGACAGGAATAAACTTTTGACTAAAGCTAATTGGTTCAGTTAAATAGAAGCCCCAGTCTTCTACCCAGGCTGATGCAAAAGATTCCTTGGCATTAATCTGAAAAAGATTAGAGAGAATCTGCTTTGCAAAACTGTCATAGCAACAGTGTATCCACAGTTACACTCCATTATTCTATCACAGAAGATCCAGGAAATTATTGTACAAGTAACCAATAACACCATAACTTCTTGGGAGATTTGTACTGCTTTGCTATTGCCCTAGTCAAAATAGCAAGAACTTTTATATATGACTGGTGGATTTGTTGTTTACCTCTCAACCAATAAACACTAAAACAGTTTATCTGGGTCATTTATCACACTGCCATTTGTGAGGCTTGCTTCATGTGTGTTCTTTTCATGTGCAATTGTGCTAGCTGGTGGAGATTAGGTGGGTGTGAAGGACAGGGCACATTTACAATCATTATGTGTCTTTTATTGATGAGGGCATCGCAGTTCCAGGAGGCTAAGTGAAACTGTATGTAAACTGTCGGTCATATTTCCTACAGCAGTAATTCCAATTTTCCCTGCAATGCTGTGTTGTTGCACATGGCTAGTTTGTTTCAATTTGTGGCAAAAGATTTTCCAGAGATCCAAAAGTTAACACAAACCTACGCGGTACCTTGTAGGTTACACACAGAAATACATTTGTGCGGCTTAGTGGAAACATTGGTAACCACACTTCAAACATTCTTCATTGACAAAGACTGGTACAACAACCTAAGGTTGAGGAAGGTGTCGCATAAATACAAGCTCTGTCTCTCCTTCTGTGATTACGGGTCTTTATTTATTTGTAGGTTTGGATGTTACCTGACTAGTCCACTGTAGCTGGGAGTGCCATGTTGCCAGAAGAGTATCATAGAATTCTGTTAGTTGGTGATTCAAACTGAGATCACTCTGACATAGTTCCTGCCACACAGAGACCAACTGACTCTGCAAAATGCAAAGCACAAATCCAACTAAGTCAATAATATAAGGTCCCACAACAAACAGCACAAGCCCAACTCAAATCCATTCGAGGCACAATTACAACTTTTTCCCATTATTATACTGGCTTCACCTCCCCATTTCCCGCTCCAGCAAAAAGCTAGCACACAATCAATTCTACAACTCAAGGAATGCACAGGTATAAAAGACGCTGAATAGACTGGCATTAAGAAAGAGCAAGAATAAAGAGCCACTGTTATCAATACTGTCTCCTGCCAGGCCTCAGCTCACCTCTCCTTAAGGGATTGGTACACAGGGCTTCCCCTTGGACAGGGGTTTACACGCGGGGTCTCACACTGAGACAGGGAGCACAAACTGTAAACGCGCTGGCGCACAGGGCTCACACATTGTGAAATGCTGGCACATAGGCCTCATGCTGGGACAGGAGGCACACACTGTAAAATAGGCTAGAATGCAGGGCCTCACACTGGGACACAGACTGGCTCATGGGGTCTGTGATTGGGCCATAGGCCTGACTCACTAGTGTCTAAAGCTTCTGCCCAACAGTGTCATCCAAGCTGGGGCTATGAACAAAACAGTGGAATCATATTCCAGACTTGTAAAAAAGCTAGAAAACAATAGGGGACTTCTCTATCCCCAAAAGACATCAAGTTGCCCACTGCTCATTGCCCAGCACAATTGACAGTAATTTCTACAGTTTCTCACAAAACCCTGCAAATATTCTAGACCTTTGACTTCTAATGGTTAACCCTTCCTTACGCTTATTTCCTGCACAGTCCCCACCCTGCCACCATATCTGGTTAGCCCTTCCTTTCAGTAATGGGAAGATAGTGCTATATCCAACCTTGTGGCACTTATAGTAGTATGTCAGGAGCTGGGGCATTCGGTCCACTGCCACAAACACTTTCACAAAAAGTCGGGCCTGATCTGAAGTGGAAACAAATACAAACAGGTAAATATCAGAACCATCCAGTCCCTAGATCTGTTTTTAAATCCTCTCCTACTATCTTGTTAGTTTATCTTTTCAGGTGATTGCAAAAATCCACAGAAGAGCAGACAGAGTTTGCCCCAAAGTCCTAGTCAACATCTATCCTGCAACCACCATGATAAAAAAAAGATTCAGTCATGATTGCTGTTTGTGGAATCTTGCTGTGTGCTAAGTTTCCTTTCAGCTCTTTACATTACAGTGACTACACACAAAAGTATTTTACACCTGGTAAAATATTACTCTGGTACATCCTCAAATCATGGAAGGCATTATGGAAATACAAGTTATTTATTTTCTTTGAGTTACTGTTAGGGACTCCGCTGTGCAAGCGGCTGACCATGCATCTCCAGGGCTACTCTGCAATAAGTGCCAGCCACTCAGAAGGCCCAAGGAAAGGCTAAAGAGTTGGAGCAACCCAGGTTGGCACATCTCTGGTTGTCATTTCAGACATATTCCGGAAAGACCATGTGATGTGGATTAAAGCCAATACCTTCTCTGCTGATTCTGGAAAACATGCGACAATATGAAACCATTCTGCTATAAATTAAAGAATATCATTAAGTGGTACCTATGGGCTTATTCTCAGTGACTGTGTAATGTACCACATTTTAAAATCATTCACAAATGATACAGTACTTCAGGAAGCCAGTTGACTTATCACTCTTACCAGTTTTTTCTAACAGCTACTCAATCAGCGCACTTTCCTGCTCTTCCCTATGGCATTGTCATTTCTTTCTTTCAAGTTTAAGCCTCATTCTTTTTTGAAAGTTATGATTTGACATTGTTCCAAAACTGTTTCAGGTAAGGAATTCTAAATTATCCTAACTTGCTGCATTAAAAATTTCACCACAACTTACGTCTTATTCTTTTTCCAATTGCCTTAAGCCTCTGGATACTGATTTTCCTACGACTGGAAATGGCTGCTCCACATTTACTTTGTCAAAACCGCTCACGATTTTGAATGTTTCAATTATATCTCCTTCTAATCTTCTCTCCTCTCAGCAGAAAATCCCAATGTCTCTCCAATTTATTTATTTAAAAATATACTTTCAGAAGATGCACCGGAAAATCCAGTGTTCCATGAACATGACCCAGACAGATTGTTGGGTATGCTATTTTTCTATTTCTGAGCTGTTCTGGGGGTGTGTGAGGATTAGGAGATAAATCAGTTCTTACGTGTGATCAAATAACCACCGACTCATGATATTCAGTTATTGGCTGAAGGTTCAACTCAACTTGATTGTGATAACTCTTGGTCAGAATGGTTCACTGCATTGGTTACTTAGGATGATGTGTGAAGAATGGCCACTTGGGCAGAGCACAAGGCAGCTACTTAGCAGACATTGTGCAGAAGAGGAACGTAGCACCAACTGGAAAAGGGATGAAGGGTGAAAGCAATATGACCACTTTAGACAGGTTCTGTCAAATGTGCCTCTTTTCCCAATGCGCACAATAATTTTAAAAGACCAGTGGAAATGAGTTCGCTTATTAGGCTTTTGGTAAAATCTTTGGAAACCTGCTCCTTCTGAAATTAAACTCTCCATTTCAAAAAAAAATTGCGGCCTCTTCGATATTCATGTCCTGATGTCATTTGCACACCCTCCATTATGTTCCCATTGTGAATGATCAAAAATTTCTCACTGCTAGCCCCTGCTGTTTGGTCCCTGGTTTTGCAGCTAAACTTTTTATGGAAGGTTCAGATCAGTTGCCAGTGTTATTCTTTTTCTTTCTAAACAAGTTGGTCTCCCAGTCCTGTTTATGCATGCTCTCTTACTAACACTGCCTCCTAGTTCAGAAACAATTCAATTTTCAAATTTTTATTTTTGCTTCCAATTCTCTCCATGGTCTCACCCCACCCCATCTTTCTATGCTCTTCTAAACCTAAAACTCTCCAAGATCCCCTCTTTTTTAAGTCCGGCCTCTTGCATATTCATAATTAGTAGCCAAGCCTTCAGGTACCAAGGCTGTTAATTCCGGAGTTGCTTACCTAGACTCCTCCGCCTTTATAACTCTGTCCCCTCCTTTAAGATTCTCCATCAAACCTATCATGTTCATCAAGTCTTTTCTTGCTTGTCCAACAAGCCTTTAAGTGGCTCTATGTCAATGTTATTCTCCTAGGAGCACTTGGGACATTTTACTGTCAAACATAGACATGCACAGGAATTCCTAGAGGCACGGTTCTCAACCCGTAATGCTATCAACAAACATATAGAATTGAACCCCATATACAAACCCATACAGATCAAATCCGGAAATGACACTACTCACCACAACTGACCAGACATTCCAAGCAGAGTAGAACAACATCGCTTCATCGGAGGCCTCACTAATGATGTCACCTAGCATGGTGACGAAAACGTCTGAACGAAAACAAGCCAGCTCAGCGAGCAAGTCAACAACTTCGTCCACAACCCGAGCTACAAATCTTTGCCAAAACTTTAGACATTTTACTGTGTTAAAAGCACTATTTAAATGCAAGTTGTTGTTCATTTTGAAGCAACTGTGCACATAATAGTGCTAAATCTTACTGCATACAAACTAGACACTCCACACAGCTCTCACAGGAACAAGATCACTCACCAACAGACTGAGAGTTGAATGCAGCTACAATTTGTGTGCTTGCCATGGCTTCCAATCGATTCTTTAGTGCCTCGAGGTGAACGCATTTCTCTGAATAATCTGGTGTGTCGACCAGCATAGCCAAACTGTTCTGCATGCTTGTGAGTTTGGCCGAGATAGTCTCAATGTCCTGTGGGAGTAAATCATTTCCATTACTGTATGCCACCATGCAAACAGCATTCACTGTACCCTAGAGCAAACAAGGCAGTGGAAATATAGGAAACTGGAGGTCCTGATTCAGCCACTGCAGCAGAGTTTTAACAGTAGAAACCATCCTGCTTTTCTAGAGTGAAGTGCAAGGTGGTGCCGTTATTCCATGAGAACTCAACAACGTCTGCCATTATATCCTATCCACTGTTCTTCATTGGTTGGTCCTTTCCAGAGCTAGGTGAACAGACTTCTTGATAATGATGGCCATCACAACACAGCTCAACTCTATCATCTTCTGATGTATGTGCACACCCTCATGCGTATACAGACATGAACATGCAAAAGAGCAGATGTCCCTGACACAACCTCCACAGCAGATGAAGTCACCTGCTTTCCCACGCCAAGAGCAGTGTGATATCTTTGTCATTTCCTGCTCGACTGAAATCCACAGCAAAGCTCAAACTGCTTGATTCAGACCCACAGCAAAGCTCAACACACAAAGCCCCTTCCTCGTCTTTACAACACAGAACAGCATATTTGCCATTTGAACTCAAAGACTCATTTGAAGTTGGCATTTGACAATGCAGCATTCCCTCGGGACTGCACTGTCTGTGGCATCCTAGATCATGTCCTGGAATCTCCATTCAGATTTTGAACTCATGTTTTTCTGAGGTCAGAGTGCTACCCACTGAGCTACAGCAGATAACTTCACAGTTTTGTTTAGGTTGTTGTATTCCATCAGTGCCTGGGGCAGAGACAAGGAATTCATGCCTTGGGCCACCTGAACCAGTATCAAAATGCAAGACAGGGCAGCAAACTGCCAGCTCCACACCCTCATCCAACAGCATTTTAACATGTTGCAGTCTGTCTGAACTTCCTGATAGCATTGGACTGAAACAGTTTCGCTCCTACCTGAGATTTCAGTGTTTCTTCAATGTCAGCACTGATTGTGCTCCACTTGTCGGCCTCCTGCAATGCCTCAGATGCTGCTTGCATTCTGGACTTCACTTCATCGAGTTCGACCAATACCTGCAGCACACAACAACAAACAAGCAAACACAAGCTGAATGTTGGAAAAAGGAGGAGCCTAGCTGATAATTCGTCAGCCAGTATCTTTTACTATTAAGCTCCTACCATGTGGTATTGACTCACTTAATAGAGGCACTAGAAAAGGAGAAAATGTGTTTCACAAAGATGACACCAAAACTGAGGGGGCATAATTATTAAGAACAATGTAACATTTTTGAGTTATTTCTCTATAAAAGACTAAGGAGTGAGCTGTGAAAAGTTTAAGATTATGACGGAGTTTACTAGGGTACATGTAGAGAAGTTGTCTTCACTTCCAGAGGAGATGACAACTAAGGGCCATAAATAATACAAGAATCACCAATGTGCCCATGACTGAATTCAGGAGAAAGCTCTGTACCCAGAATGTGCGACCACATGGAGTATTTGACACAATAGCTTAAATGTGTCTAAAGGGAAGCTCAATTAGTTAATAAGGGGGAAATAAACTGAAAAGTATACTGATACAGTTAGATGGAAATGGGATAGGACTTGCGTGCAGCATGAATACCAGCAGAAAAGGAGGCCAAACGGTCCATCTCTGCATTGTTCATTTCATGCACTTTTTGTTGATTATGGATACATCACAGGAAACAAAACAATTACTGACTGAGCCAAACTGACAGAGAGGAGCATTCAGTTCACATCTGTGGGAGGAGAACTCTGATAGCTGGAAAGAAATGAAAAACACGCAGTTTGCATTTCAAGCATGATAAACATGCATCAGTGAGCAGGCATGAAAGCAATACAGCCCTCAAATTATTTAACATTCTTACCTGCATGGATTGTGCCGTGTCCTGTTCAAATTTCCGAATATCTTCTTTGACAAGGATCATTTGCTCCTTCAGAAAGGAAGCTTCTTGTTTCAGAGCTTCCACATCCCGGAGTGCCCTAGGCATGTTCTGTAGCGCTTGGTGACTAGTCTCTGAGACCAAAACAGATCATAAGAAAATATGCTCGCGCACAAATTACACAACCAGACATTTTGAATCTTGTATGACCCGAGAGCTGAAACATCAGATGAAGAAAAAGAAGAAGAAGAAACAGGTCCACCGGAACAGACATGCTGCTATTCCACAAATACCACCTAAATACGGACACTCTCAAGGAACCCCTGTAAACACCAATACACATCCAAGGAGTCCCTGAAAATACTGCCACTTCCCGGGGAGCCCCTGCAAGTGCCGACGCGCGCCAGGGGAGCCCCTGCAAG